AAACAAACAAACAAACAAACAAAAACTTATTTATGGACCAGCAGAAGGCAGAATGGTTACATTGCTGGACTCCCGTGTAGTCAACCTTGAGGCACGTGTGCGTGCCTTCCTGAGATCCTGCCGGGAATGGAGAAGGGAATGCTGCCTGGCCATCCCCGTGTGTGTGTGTGTGTGTGTGTGTGTGTGTGTGTGTGTGTGTGGGGTGATCTCGCTTTCTGTCTCTGTCCAGTGAGCACATGTGCTCTATTACAAATCTCTCTGTCTCTCTGCTGAGCTCACCAGCCCTTATAGCAAAGCAGGCTTTGGTACAAAGCCCCGACCCCGCTCTGGGCCAGGGGACACAACTCCGACTTGAGACAGGTCCCAATCCCTGAGGGCTCTGCACTGGGGCCACTGCTCAAGGGCAATGCCAGGACGCAGTGGGGTCTGTCCTCTGGGAGGGCCCGAGGGTACCGCGAGGACGCGGTGCTGGCGAGTTCTTCACGCCGCTGGGTCGGGATGGAAACCTCATTTAGCTCTGTGAGATCTGGCCACCAGACCCGCGCAGCCACCACGCCACTCGCTGGCCCTGTAGCTCTCTTTTCCTATTTTTTTTTTTTTTTTTTTTTTAAGAATTACTTATTTAACTTTATTTGTTCATTCTTTTTTTAATATTTTTAATTTGACCAGAGAGACAGGGAGAAAGAGAAAGAAAGTGAGAAAGCAAGCCTCCAGGTTCGGGACTCGAGCCGTAGCCCAACACGGGGGAGTGCCCAACGCCTTAGCCACCACGCCGCCTGCCTGCTGGTCCCCGTAGGTCTTTATTTCCGCCATACTGTCCCGTAGGACTGTACGAAACAGACCATGACCAGTCCAGCTCCGCACCTGCGAGCCGGTCTCCTAATTCCGCTCCCGGCAAAGTCCCGCGCAAACCGCTAGTATCGCGAGAGTCCGCCCATGTACATAGGGGTGGGGTTATGCCGCCAGTAGATTCCCAGGAGCCTCAGTGAATTTCTGACCCCTTAGTGCGCCTGTGCCTGCGCAGGCGCACTGCATAGGTTTTGACTTCCGGGCTCGTAGGGTATAAAAACGGATGCTTTGGCAGCACCAAGCCTTTCGGACGGAGTCTCGCCCTGTGTCTCCTCGCTGGTGGTGAGTCTGTTTCGTTTTACTCTTGCGTGCATATTACTTCGGTTCGCCCGACGTTCTTTACTCTAAGGACCGTGTTCATTACGAGCGTTTTCTCCGATGGCGCGCCCTGCAGCTTCCCGTGTGCGCGTAGGCCCGGGCTGGTTGGAGGCCGCGAGACTTCTGCAAGGACAGCACCGGCGGCAGCCGCGCCGAATCCGCAGTGCACGCTCTGCAGTTTTGTGCGCCTACTGTCCGCCTTTTCCTGGCCCGCTCCTGGGCTCACGCTAGCGGGGTTGCACGCAGTATGTCTCGGTACACTAGTGTGTTCGCTTAACGGGTTGTGGAGACTGTCCAACGCGGATACCCCGGGAGGTCACTCTCCCCGGGCTCTGTCCTGGTGGCATAGGGGAGCATAGGGCTCTGCCCCGGGATGTACAGTCCCTTCCCACGGCGTTGGAGATGAAGCTGGGCTCCGCGCCCGCACCTGCATATTCCTACAGCTTCCCAGAGTCCTATGGACAGTGACTGGGGGGACAAACCATGCAGGAAACACCTCTAGAATTCAGAGGTAACTCCCGATTTATGTTTTATACAGAAGTTAACTATAGATAAAATAACTTTTCTTTTGCAGAATCTGCTCAGGATTGCAAATACTTTGAGGTAAGCGTTTTGAATTTGTTTTTGGCCTACCAGTCTGTAGGCATTTTCTGCAGTGAAGCCTGGCTTCTAAATGAGCTAGGGTATTTGATCATCCTGAACTCCCCCTGAACATTGACGGTGTGGTCGTATGCTCACATTCTGTGAGAATTGCTTTTGCACAATTAAGTAAAACTGCGCTCACCGGTTTAAACCTTAGTGTGGTTAAGATTTCTACAAGTTGAGATCGGGAGGTTTGGCGGTGACCTGACGCTGTGGGGAGTTTGTCCGTGAACAGGTGCACATCCACCGCAAACACAGTTCATGAGCGTTAAACACGCCGTTTACTCTGTTGTCCCTTGCCACTGTTGTAGAAGCTGTGTACGTGTACCTAAAAGTGAAAAGAGTGCATAACCAGTGACTGCGTGGGGAAACTGAAATAGCAAGACATCTTGTTTTTCAAAGCACTTGCTGGCCTTCCCAGCCCTGTTAGGCTTTCTCTGAGAGGTGCAGCTGGGATTAGACTTTGGAAATGTTTTTAAGGGATGATACTTTGCCAGGCTTCTGTTCATCAGTTATTCCAACGCGGATACCCCGGGAGGTCACTCTCCCCGGGCTCTGTCCAGGTGGCATAGGGGAGCATAGGGCTCTGCCCCGGGATGTACAGTCCCTTCCCACGGCGTTGGAGATGAAGCTGGGCTCCGCGCCCGCACCTGCATATTCCTACAGCTTCCCAGAGTCCTATGGACAGTGACTGGGGGGACAAACCATGCAGGAAACATGCTCATATGGTGAACTTGTTAATGGAAGTAGGTCTTCAGAAAGCTAATATTCTGTCTGTTTTCTAGGAGGAGAGGACCTACACGTGACTTCAAGAAGTTGGCACCCAACACCTAAGACGTGGAGCCTTTCTCTAGTTAGAGTTGGCAAAGTGGCTAATAGTAAATCAGTTATTGGGTTGTCTGAAACATTGTGACACATCTTTGCAGCTGGTGGCGCTAGTTCCTTTTCATCGGTAAAAAAGGGGTGATTTGGTTGAGATTTGGGGATTGTATGGGATTGTTGGTAAAGTCGTGAAACATTTTGTATGGGAAAACAGTATGACTTTCAGTGGCCTAATGCAAGTTGAAGATGGAAGGCCAAAGCACATTTTTGCTGAATTTTACTGTTACTGAATGCATCGAGTTAACTCCTGTTGCACAGCGCAAAGTTGCAGAAAACATGGCATTCCTTTCGTGAAGTGGCTAATAGCTGGTGGTGAGAAGTGGGTAGTTGACAGCACTGGCCTGTTGGCTTTTTCTCCTCTTTCTGGTGAGCACCTATTAAGGAATAAAATTCCTTTGAGGTATACCTAGCAAAATAGTGACTATTGTAATCCCTAGTGAATTGTTTATGAATTGAAATAAAGAGCTTACATGATTTTGTCCTGTGTGAAGTACAGACTGGAGGTTTTGGCCACACTCAGGCTGGGCGGTTCTGTTTCCTGCTGGTGCTCCTGGGATAGCCCCCAGGATCAATCTGGGCTCTTCCATCTTGATTAGGTTTCCAGTCCTCAACACAGGAAAATTGACCTTGCCCAGCAGATGGGTGGTGCTCACAGCTTGTGTTGTAGCCCAGGTCACAAAGAGGTCCCCTTACTGGCTGCCAGCATTATGGGTAAGAAGTCCCTAAAGGGTGGATAGAGAAGCACTTGGGGTTAGGTGGGGATTGGAGCCATGTGGAGCCGCACAAGCTGCTAGGGCAGGGTTGAGAACTAGAAACTAATGGTTGGCATCAAGGTCCAGCTAGACATCCTGCCTTGTGGCTCCAGGACTGGTTTTCAGGTTGAGCTCCCAGCTACTTGTTTGACTTGGAATTCCTGATGGGTAACTTCCAGAGCTGAGCAAGAAAGAGTATTTGTCTTGGGAACCAGCAGTTAGCTTAATGGCTCTGTTGCTGGACTCCTAGTCGACCAGGGTTTGTATCCCAAACCTGGTGGCTTAAAACGCACGCCAGGCGTGTGAGTGCGTGCCCACATTCCCAAGATCCCAACAGGAAAATGCAGAAGGGATTGTGCGTGACCATCCACCCTGGGGGGTGATTTTTCGCTTTGTCTCTGGCGAGCACACGCACCCTATAGCAAAAACCTCTCAGGGTTTGTCCTGGCTCCCATGCTGGTCCAGCTCTGCTGACATTTGCGAAGAGAGTAGGGCCAATGATAGCTTTGTGGAGGTTAAGGATTCAATTGGGCTTTGAGATGGGCCAACACATGACACCAGCAGCACGGTTCAAGTCCTGGACCTGGAGGCATGAGAGACAGGCCAGGCAAGGAAGATGGAAAAGAGATTGAGGCATGACCAGGAGAGCTTTTAAAGAACAACCTTGCTCAAAAAAATTGCAGGGCTATCAGGTGGCATGGTGATTGAAGCACTGTACCCTTGACAGGGCTGACTGGTTCAAGCCCCGGACTTGCAGCTTATTTCACTCTGGCGAGAACATGTATCCTATATCGAGTTTAAAAGTAATAAACTGTCTCGCTTCCAATATGATGAAAAGGAACAAGGGCCGTGGCCATATGCAGCCTGTTTGCACAAAGTGCACCTGTTAAATCCAAAACATGCCACAGCCGCCAGGGACATTGAAGCAAGTGTCTTTGTTGGGTACTGCCCCTCCCGCCCCCAAAGCCCATGTAAGGATCCGAGTCTTTTAGGACCTGAAGAACTGTCCTCTGAAAAAATAAAATGCCGGATTATCCATTAAAAATAAGCACATCGGGGCCAGCAGTTGGGGTAATGACTATGTCACTGGACTCCCCTGTACTCAACCATGGTTTGAGTCCTGGACCAGGTGATTTAAACTTGAGCTGAGTGCGTGAGCTGGGTGCCCATGTGCCCAGGAACCTGAGAATGGGGGGAGAAGGGATTGGGGCTTGGCCATCCCCGCTGGAGGGTGGTTTCTGGCTTTTTCTGGCAAGCACACGTTCCCTACAGCAAAAAAACCTCAAAACACTAAGATTTGGCAGCTTGCTTTCTTGCTTCCCCTTTCTGCTCTGGTTAAATTTTTTAAAAAATTCTTTAAAAATAATTCTTTTAAAGAGTTCCTTGCAGAAATATACACATTAGCCAAGGGATCTAGGTTAAAGGATAAAGGGAAGGAATGAGGCAGGGACAGTGGCCATTAGCATGCTTTAGACAAACAAATAGGGAAGAGTCAGAAAAATCAAAATCCTAACTTTTTAGTCTGCCAGAGGGCAGAGTGCTCAATAGAGAGGGAATTCCTCATGGGAAATGGTCATACGTAGTAGTCCCCTCGAACCTCTGCATTGCAATCTGGATACCACAGGGCCGACCAGGCTTCAGGCCCTAAGTCTAGGCCACTTACAAACATGCTAGGCGTGTGTGTGCAGGCCTGAAGTTTTTGCGGGATTACGAGACGAGTTTGGTGTGACCACATCCTGTAGGGTGTGCTTTCTCTGTTGAGTGCTCACGCCCTCCAACAATTAATAAAGGAGGAGGTGGGCCCTCCCAGAACAAGAGTTGAGGTTCCCCTCCACTGTGTTGAGCCCAGAGAATTTTGAATCTCATTTTTTTTCCGACTCGAGATTTTTGTGAGGAACAAGTGACATGGATGTGTCTCCAGTTAGCAAAGTAAAAAGTTTACAAAACATTTTTTTAAAGAATTATTTTATTCAACTTTATTTCAGTGTGATCAGAGGGTCGGAGCGGGTGCGGGGGTTAGTGAGAAGCCAGGCCGCCAGGTCCCGGGCGCCAACGCTGTGGGCCCTGGGGGCGTCCAGCGCCAACTGCCGGCCCCCAGGTGACTTTTTTACATAATTGCGCTAAGCCTGGGAGGAAGACCGCAGAGAAGGCACACTTGCCAGGGTTAGAACTTGGAGAAATTCCACCGCGTACCATCCGAAGGGGAGACCAGGATGGAGGCGGAGGTCAACGTGAAGAGGTAAGACACCCTCCAACGGGAGTGCTTCGTGGGCTCTGCGGGGTGAAAGGAATTCAGCCAGCGTCTACCTGGGCTGCTCCCGGCCTGGCGGCTAAGGCAGCGGTTCCCACGCGGCCCAGCGAGTGCTTCAGGCTCTGGGCGTGGAGGCCTGGGAAACAGACACGAGTGCCTGCGGACCAGGTCCCCAGGGGGACAGACGCAGGAGTCGGGAGTGCAGAGCCCCTGGCCCGACCCCCGGCCCGCCCCCTTGTCCTGGCCCTGGCCCTACCCCGCCCCGCTCCT